CCCCGCCGAGGCCCCGACGAACCGCCGAGGCCCCAGCGGCACCGAGTCGCTCACCATGGTGGCGGATGGCGGTGGATTCTCCCAGGTAGAACCAAACGAGGCGAGTCGCGCCAAGGATGGCGGCGACAGCGGCGGAAGAGAACGCTGACGTCAACACTCGCTCTTTTATACGTCGACGCCGGTTGAGGCGGTCACATGACTGCGCTGCGGGAGGCGTGGCTACGCCGGCGCTCCTGCGCATGCGCCGGGCCGCTCGTCTCGTTAACCCTTTAGGCGCCTAACCAATCCCTGCGCGAGCGCCCGGCCTCGGCGTCCCCTCGGCGGATGGAGGTGCCGGTGTCTGCGTCTCGGCCCTCCCCGTTTGCAAAGTTCACCAACACGAAACGGAGAGCTGGGATAAGTCATCATATCCGCACAAATAATAATGATAATAATAACCATAACCATCAGCGAGTCACTGCAAAGTGCAGAGCGCAGGTATGAAGCGTGCAAGGTGGATGAGGATCGGGGTGTGCATCCCTGCCCGTTCCCGGCTGGGGACGGTGTTATGTAACCTGACACCCTGAGTGTAAAGGGGGGGCGGACACTCCGGATGTCTTCGTACTGAGTTGGGCACTCTCTACTGCTCAAGATGAAAAGCTTCGTGAAATACCTCTTTTTAAGCACAATCGCGCGGTGGGCAGCTGCTGTGTGTGCAGAGCTGGCTAACGCCGGGCTTCGCCGTCCTGCGCGTTCTTACGCTTCCTTCCTACACCTCTCCGCTGCCTCCCGTCTAGACTACGAGGTCAGGACTGTTGGCAGAAGTTAGGAATGAATTAAATGTATGTCAAAGGAATACAGCGCCGGGCGACCCAGAACCCTAACTTTAATCTCCCGCCCCCCATGGCTTTTCGTGAAAGTTATTTATATTCAGGGACTGACTGGCCGGATTGCCACGTCGCGGGCAGGCTTAACCTCACCCGCTCCCGAGGCACAAACCTTCATTTCCATTTCGTTTCCTGACCTCCAGGGGGAGGCGCAGTTAGACTTCTGGGTCTCGGCGGTGTCCTGATCTGACCCCAAGAAACATTGGGGTGTCAGATCTTTAGCTGGGGTGGGGGGTGGGGGGACGGGAGGAAATGATCAAAGACTGACCCTAAACTCTTTGCCTAAAATCACTTGGTTAAAAGAAGAAGAGGGGGAGAAGCGGGGGAGGAGAGAAGAGTGGGGGGGGGAGGCCAGAGGAGGGAGGAGGAGGAGGAGAGGCATATTGTACAGCTCTTTCCCTGGACTGAGAGGTGGAGGGAGGGGTTGCATCTGCAAAAAAAAAAAGAAAAGAAAAAGTCATGCAGTTTTCTGTCTGCATTCTAAAATTAACCGGCACCACACCCCTCCTGCCTAAATGCTTGGCTCATTTTACTTTGTAAAGCCCTTAACTTTGCAAGCAAACAGTAACTCCCCTGGCTGTCACTCTTTAACCCACAGAGGGAAACTGAGGCAGGGAAGAGATCATTTATACATATGGAATGACTGAGGTGCTCAGAGCGTCAGAAAGAGGGAGGGAGACAGGATCTTAAGACACCCACACTGTGTTCGTGACACGATTTTCTGGGAGATATATATGCGCACAAAGGCAAGCGCATGCGCCCATGGAAGGAGAGGTCACGCGTTTTTGGCAGCTGGGTATTTTGGGTTTTTCAATCTGAACAATCTATAAATGCTCTGAGGTCCAACTGCGTGTTAGGTTCACTTGATCAGCAGCCCTTCTCCCCCAAAGGGGTCTTTCCAGCGAGGTTGTGTCAAAGGCTGGGGGTAGGGGCTCCAACTTCTTCTCCATTGCTGGGAAAATTCTAACATCAGATGAAACAATGAGGAACGGAGGAAATGCAAGTTCTGAGAAAGGTTTTTCAACCTGGAGACACAGGAGCCAGAGGATGGCAGGGAAAAGAACTCATCCCATCTTCATCCCCAGACACAGGGCTAGCAGAACCTGTAGTCAAAGGCGGCACAAACAAGAAGATTTAGGCTGGGAGTAACAGGCAGGGAAACCAAGGAAAACAACAACAAAAGCAACAAAACCAAAAAACCACCCTGGCCTTGGGCCTCTGCAGGGAGGCTCCACTGCGCACGCGCACACTGCAGAACGGCCGCGGAGGGGGGGGGCGGTACTTCAAAGAACGCAGCAGCGGCCCCTGCTGGCCGTCAGCGCCCCTGCACGCCTCCCGACCTGCTGGGCAATGTTTTTCTGTGTGGTGACCAAGTCCTGAGGCTTGAACTCAGGGCCTGAGCACTGGTCCCTTTGTTTGCTCAAGACTAGCGTTCTACCAGTTGAAGCTTTTGGTGGATAATTGGACCATGAGACTCATGCCTGTAATCCTACCTACTCAAGAGGCTGAGATCTGAGGATCAAAGTCCCAATGCAGCCAAGACTGGAAAGTCCCTGAGACTTTTGTCTACAATAAATCACCGGAAGTGCAGCTGTGGTTCAAGTGGTAGAGCACGAGCTTTGAGCAAAAAAGCTCAGAGACAGCATCCGTGCTCTGAATTCAAGACCCAGAACAGGCACACACACAGGAAACACCTCCTTGTTATACGGAGGACACAGTGAGCCTCTTACATTTGCAGCTGGCTGTGTGGCTAACTGGCACAAAAAAAAAACAAAACTAACCTTTATAAATTCCCATAAGGCCTATCAGTCATCAGGCCTGGCTGTTTCCTCTGTTGTTGTCTATCTGCTGTACTTAGTTTCTCCTTTGAACTTAAACACAGCTGGCCCCAGGGCACTTGCACAATCTATTTGATCTGTCTTTTTTTCTTGATTTGCTAGTCCTGGGGCTTGAACTCAGGGCTTGGGGGCTATCTCTGAGCTTCTTTTGCTCAAGGCTAGCACTCTATCAAATTGAACCACTTCAAGCTTTTTCTGTTTATGTGGTATAAAGGAATCAAATCCAGGGCTTCATGCATGCTAGGCAAGCACTCTACCACTAAGCCACACTCCCAGCTCTTGATCTATCTTTATTCTCATTTCCAGCTGTGGTAGACAGGGTCATGTTTCCCAAAGATTTTCATGTATTAGATGTTAAAAGCTGTGCTTAACTTATATGACCAAAAGGATTGTTCATCAAAAAAAAAATTGTCTCGGGCTTGGAATGTGGCTTAATGGGATTATAGGTGTGAGCCACCAGCACCTAGCTAGGTAGCAGACATCTATAAAGAAAGAGAAGTCTGGGCTGGGAAAGTGGCTCAGTGGTAGAGCACTTGCCTTGCATGCATGAGGCCCTGGGTTGGATTCCTAGCATCACATAAGCAGAAAGAGCCAGAGTGGTGCTGTGGCTCAAGTGACAGAGCATTCACCTTGAGCTGACGAGCGTAGGGGCAGCGCCCAAGCCCAGAGTTCAAGCCCCACAATTGAAAGAAAAAGAAAAAAGAAAAGAAAGAGAAATCTGGGATCTGTTGGCTAACACCAGTAATCCCAGCTACTCAGGGGGCTGAGATCTGAGGACCACATTTCAAAGCCAACCTGGGCAGGAAAGTCTGTGAGACTCTTCTCTCCAATTAACTAGCAAAAAGCCAGAAATAGAGGCATGGCTCAAGTGGTAGAGTACAATAAAACTGAGACAGTAATCAGGCTCGGAAGAAGTGTTCAAATCCCAGTATTGGTACACACACACACACACACACACACACACACACACACACACACACACACACCAGAGCAAAAAGGGCTGAAGAGTGGCCCACTGAGCAAAAAAAGAAAAAAAATTTCATAAGAAAAACAAAATCTCAGTATAGGTTGCAATACATCGGGTGATATGGATGCTTCGTCTGTTTTTCCTCCATTGCTGGGGATGGAGACTAGAGCTTTTTGGACATTAAGCAAGCTCTAGATCAGTGAACTGCGTCCCCAGATTGTCTTTCCTACCTTGTGTGTATAAATGTGTGTGCACAAGCCCTTGATACTGGTGCTTGAACTCAGAATCTAGGCTTAGCTTATTTTACTCATGGCTGGAGGGCTTTACCACTTGAGCCACAACTCCACTTCCAGCTTTTTGGAGATAAGATTTGATTGCACTTTCCTGTCCAAGTTAGCTTCAAATCTCAAGGCCAGCACTCTACTACTTGAGCCACAGCGCCACTTCCAGTTTTCTGGTGGTTCATTGGAGATAAGAGTCTCACGGACTTTCCTGCCCAGGCTGGCTTCCAACCTCGAACCTCAGATCTCAGCCTCTTGAGTAGCTGGGATTACCGGCATCAGCCACCGGCACCCGGCTGTTTGCTACCTGTTGCTGGTTGTGATGACCCTTCCCCAGCCTGGCTGCACAGGATAACACACACACCCATCAGCTGCAAGCTTCTGTCGAGTTCATACCTCCTTTGCTCACACTCATTTAGAGTGCCATAAAACTCACCTCTCTTTACACCCCACCTATTTTTCAGGACCCTAAAAATGAAACTCCACAGCTATTCACCCTGCTTCCTGACAACCACAAGTTGACTTCCGGTCTCAGGTTGGCCTTGTATTAGACATTTCCCACCCGAGGAGCCACACATCATGGGCCCTTCTGTGTCCATGTCTCTCACTCAACGCGGCGGCCTCAGAGTCCCTTCAGGACTGAGTGCGGTCACACTGATGTCCCATTCCTGCCTGCCTTGTACTTCAGACTAGGGATGAACGAAGTTGTGTCCTCCGTTGGTAGACATGTAGGAATGTGCTTGGGTCATTGGAATGTGGGTGGGTCCACGTTTTCATTTTCTGGGATATATATCCAGGAGCAGAATAACTCTTAATGTCTCCACCAGATGTTTCTCAGGAAGGAATGAAGTAGGGAGACAAGGTCTAAGTAACTACTCTCATGGACATCTTGGTGCCCTGCTGGTGATAAGAGCTCTCCACCCAGCCTGAAAAGCCTAGAGGTGAGACAGGCTATTCATTGAATTGTAGTGCCAGGTGAGCTAAGGGAGCCCTCCCCCTTCCTGCCTCCCCTCCCCCTCCCCCTTCCCTCCGCTGCCTCCCCTCCCCTTGATCTCCTCCTCCTCCTTCTCTTCCCTCTCCTCCTTCTTCTTCGTCAGTTGTGGGGCTTGAACTCTAGGCATGGGCGCTGTCCCTCAGTTCTTCAGCTCAAGGCAAGCGCTCTACCACTTGAACCACAGCATCACTTCTGGTTTTCTG